GATGGTGCCAGTCTTTGAGCTGAACTGTGAGAATCCTGCCCTCTAGTGGGCATTGGGTTGACATGCATATTTATTATAATCCAGTTCTCAGGAAGTCTTAATAACCCTACTGTATTAGAAGAGATAACAACAGACAGTGATGGAGTGAATATGATCAAAATGCATAATATGCATGTATAAAAATATCACAACGAACACCCTTATTTTGTATAACTAATATATGCTACTAGACTTTTAAAAAGAATAATATAATAATTTTTGTTTGTTTTTTAAGTATGCTTTCTTCAAAGTGAAATAGCAGACAGCAAACTCACTGGTCAGGAGACAAAGTGGAAAGACATTCGATGCAGACAGTGCTGGGATATGCTACCCTGCTGTGTGTCTGACACAATGGTAAAACTGTTAACACTCCAGTGTTTCTACCTAGGTAGGAACATCACACATGAATGAAGGGATCCTGAGTGGAAGAGATGCTGAGTTTCCTGACATAGGCAGGACTCTGGCTTTGCAAGTCTTCTCCTGTAAGTCCTTTCTTTCCCCTAGTGGATTTTAGTCCAACAGACCAACAACTTCAGCCAGGAGCCCATTGTGAGGGCTATGCTCCCTAAGGTGGTGTTCACAGCATTATCTTACAAAGCATAGATGTTCTGAGGGTGCAGAAGAAGGAAGCCATTGGTAGCCAAGTGACCTGCTCATAAAATACAATAAATAACAGCTTGGCATGCTCCCTGGGAGACACCCCATGCTGAGCTGCATGGGGTTGCCCTATCCTGAGCTACACAGGCTTGTCCCACAGGGCACCCATGCTCACATTCCAGTGATGACAGAAAGTTGCAGGCAGAAAATAAAAGGGAATAACATAGGCTGGCCATAGCAACAGTCTCCAACAGCATGAGCAGTTCTTTGGGGTCATTATCCCTCCACTGCAGGACCCTACAAAGAAAGGCCTGGGGCATCTCTGTAGAGGCTTCCTTCAAAGTGACCACCACTAATGCTGGGCACACAACTCTGGACAAGGTATATGCTGAAGGCTGTCCTACCAGAAACCAATGGTCACTGTTTCCTAACTTCCCATGTTAGGCTTGCAAATGTGACAAGGTGAGAGTGTGAAAATGAGACACTCAGGAGGAACAATGTTTTGAATTTCATATTATTGGACAATGCATATGTATAGTTGCTTATATTCGCACATGAATGCACACATCAAGTGTCCAGTTAAAATTTTGTAGCTATAAATGTATTTGTCAAATACAAATCCTGCAACCACAGAGAGCCACAGTCCCAGGAGCCTTGTGCTTGTTGGAAAACATCAATAACAAGAAGGTGCTACTACTCACATTGATGCGCACCAGCCACAGGAATGAAAGGTATCTTCAACTCAGAACACTTTCAATTTATAGTAGACTTACTGAAATACAATCCCACAAAATTGTTAAGTCCCTGAATTTATATTTAGGTTTACTTTCTTGCTTCATAGTTTGGTATTGGGAATGGAGTCTGGGGTCTCATACTGTTAAACTCACAATCTACACCTGAGCTACACTTCTGGCTGTAAGACACTTCCTTTTGAAGATAATGGGAAATGCCAGTGGCTCTCTTTAGGCTTACGAAAGCTATTGGTGAAGTTTATCTGTAGATCATGGAAACAATGGCTCATTGGAGCAATCCTAAAAGGTTTTCAGATTCAGTATTGACAATACACCAGCTAAGTGTGTCACGTGACAGACACTCAGGAAGCATGAATCAGTGATGACTAGAACAATGTCCAGTTTGCTCAGCAATGTGTGTTTTTAAATGACTTCCAACTTAAAAGACTTCTGAGACATGATGGGGGATTGTAAGTAAAAACCCTACCCAAGCACAGCACTTCTTTGGCTTTTTTGGGGGGGTTAGTGTTCGGGGGAGCTATGTTTTATAAGAAAATGGCTACTGTTTGTAAACATTTCTAGGTCAGCCTTGGGCTAAAAAAGGGTACCATGCAGATACTAGCTTTCACTACACATTCACATTTCCTCTTTTGAATTAGATATGTCTTACGGAGCAGTAAGGACAAAATTTTACTTGAACAGTGTACCTATTTGTGCTTTCTGCTGCTATTTGGTGTCCTGAGAAAAATCACAATGCACATTTCTGTATACATTTTCAGACCATGTTTCTTATGACCTCCTCAGAGTGGACGTTAGCAAGGAACTACTGAACCAAGGGAGACAAAACCACTGGTTTTGTATGGTGTGTAAACTGGATAACTGTTTCTGTAACAAATGCCTGTAAGATATCAATTTACAAAGAGAAAAAGGTCTTTGGGGCTCATAATTTTGAAAATTGCAGTCATAGCCTATTGGCTCCATTCTTCTGGGCTTGTTGCACGGCAGACATAAGGACAAGAATGCATGGCAGAGACACACCATGGATCTCATGCTGGGAAGCCAAAAGGAGGGAAAGAAAAGTTGCCCCCTTGAAGACTAGGCCACATCTCTTATTGGTTCCACTCTTCCCAATATCAATGCTTAGGGGGTAAGGCCTTTAGCCTACTGGTCGTGGGGTGACATTCAAGATCCAAGCTACAGTGCCAGGTCTGATAAATGACTTTATTGCTGCACAGAAAACTGTTCCCCAAATTGCCCATGATGGGTGGGCACCAGGTCCTCCTTTGCCAGCATGTAACCTGTGTGTTGACAGTAATTTGTACTGTCATTTCACTGTCCTTGCTAAATCAGTAAGATGGTGGTTGGTTTTTGTCAACTTGACACAATCTTAACTGAGAAAATACCCCCCATCAGATTGTTCTGTGTGCAAGTCTATGGGACACTGTCTTGATTTGTGATTGACACAGGATGGTGGTCATGGGTTGTATAAGAAAGCAAACTGAGAAGGCCATAAGGAGTAAGCCAGTGAGCAGCACTCCTCCGTGGCCTCTGATTCAGTTCTTGCCTCCAGGTTCTTGTCTTGAGCTCCTGCCTTGCCTCCCCTCAGTGATGAACATGGAAGTATACCCTGAAATAAACCCTTTCCTCACCACATTGCTTTTGGTCGTTGTGTTTAATCACAGCAGTAGACACCTAAGTGAGACAGCTTTAACACATTAAGATGCACAGCAATTCCAAGGACTATTCCCCTTCTCAAATGTTGTAGACTGGGAAAAAGAAAACTCATTATCAGCTTTGCAGCTCATTAACAGTCTCGCTCTGCATAGCAACCACTCATTGTTGCCACAAGTTGCTGTGGCTCTCATCACTCGTACCCTTCCTTCTGGGCATGGCACTCTAAGGATGGTACTAATAGGACTCTTCTAGATCCACTAAGAATGTGGCTGCACGCCAGCATACAAATGTGATGGATCAAGCAGGGATACTGCTAAAATTGTGGCTGGCCCTTTGATGGCTCTGTGACTCTAGTGACCCTGAGGTGATCACCAAACTCCTCTGAGCCTCGCCCTCTCTGAGCACTAAATATGAAGGTGTTACCTGCACCTGGCTAGTAAAACTCTTTGACAACAGAACCATGTGATGTGATGTCTGTGCCCTGGAAAATGACACAGTGAGGGTATCCCTGTCCTGTCTGTCCCTCTCTATAACATAGATGACTCCACTCCTCACATAGGTAATGTGCATCAGAAGTGTAACACTTCTAATGTGATTGCTTCAAGTAAAGCTATAAATTTTATGATGTGTGGCTTACATTTTGGATCTAAGTAATCTCTTTCTGATAAGATGCAAGGACAATAACCTAGTGGGATGGTGGATATCTTTATTCTATGAAAAAAAAATTTACTCCCACAATAGCCTCATTCAACCCTTTACCCCAATGCCAGCTGCCCACTAGCATGAGCCATGAGCTCAGACTCTGTCTTGCCCCTTTCTCTGTTGTCCTGAGTTCCCTTGCAGACTGTTTCTTTTCCATAGAGTACTGACCTAGGACTCATTCTCAAACTTGACGCTATTTTTAACTTCTCCACAGACTACTTTGAATGGAAAAGGTGATGTGTAGACACACTAACTCTATTAGCTGTGTCCACCTACAGACACAAGATTAAGGGCAGTGTGAGGAAAAGAGAAGGGTTGGGCAGAAAATGAAACACCAAGATGTGTGTCAGTGTCTTGCTCACTACCTCTCTGCCACAAGTCATGTCTTGCTGTCACATAGGTGCATGACACTATGCCCACATGTCCCTGAGAAACTATAGTTCAAACACAGCCTCTGAGTGTGACAATCGCTATGCTATTTTCCAATATGATTATGTATTAAAGTTCTTTTCGAATAGCAATTTAGTGAAATAAATTTTTCAGATACCTAGATGAGTATGTGTGTAGCTAGTAAATGCAGGCTTATTTTTTGTTTTGTTTTGTTTTGTTTTCTGTGATTTTGAAAGCATTTCCTCAAGCCCACTTATAATCACCATGGAAACTGAAAAGCAATGAAAGACTTTTGCTCATTGGTCAATTTATTGAGTAACTGAAGTCTGTGAACAAGTCAGAACAAGAGTGGCAAATGTCATTTTAAATTAAAAATATTAAAACTTATTCCTAGTACTTAAATCTTATCAAAGCATAAGAAATGTGTTTTCAAACCTTGAAAAAAAGCTGTACAACTGCAACCAAAATGGGTTCCTTGTAGGTTCGTAAGAAAATTTGTATGAAACACAATTTCCCTCTTTTATTATCTGAGTCCCTAATTCAAAGGATGCTCTTGAGCATGTATCAAAAATAAAAAGGAGTATAAATGGTGATGTCTATGGACCTCTTCAGCCCAGAAAAATAATCTGAACAAGCCTTAACATCTGTACTTCTTCAAGCACAAGCACTTTCTCGTGGTGCACCACTGTGCGCGCGCGCGCGCACACACACACACACACACACACACACACACACACACACACACACACACGTGCCTCCACATGTGTACAATCCATTAGGCAGTAAGCCTTGTCCAGAAATGTGCCAGACATATCTAGATATAGCCACCAGCTGATATGGCCAGCCACCCAGGGGTACTCAGCTCACCGCATGGTGTAGAGTAGTGTGCCATCATCCTCCAGCCTCAGCAGCTTGTTGGGTGTGGTCATGTTGTGTGCGATGGACTTCTTCCCATTGTGGAAAAATGTGTCTGGGGTCCAGATCTTGCTGGCAAGAAGATTGTTGAGAGGCAGCCGTTGCATGGGCCCCTTAAACCGCAGCCTTTCATCTTTCCAGCTTTGTCGGAAAAACACATCTATGGTATATTCCTAATACAGAAGAAGGCATCAGGGTGACATCTCTGTGGGAGAGGCCCTTACCACAGTTGTTACAGTGTGGGAATTGTCTGTGTTGACCAGGCTTTGGTACTTACCATTTCTGTGTCGGACACTGGGCCAAAGCTGGTAACGTAGATGTCTGTTCGCACCTGCGTGATTCGCTCTGAAACACAGACACAGATTGCTTTGAACTGCCTCACCACGAGCCTCATCTATACTGTGCTGATGTTCTCAGTGTAGTACTCAATTTCATTCTTTGTAACTGTGGCATAGATGCGTTTTTTGTGAACCTGGAAGACTGGAAATGGACCTGGGTTGTTCCAAACCACAAATCAAATAGAGTATCCATCATGTTAGGAAAATGGCCTCGGCCTCATGGTACCTTTGCCCCTGGAGAGTGGTCTTCAATAGATGTGGGCTGAGATGGGAGGTCTAGAGTAGTGTCACTGCTAAGCCTGGAGCCAGAAGGCCAGCCTGCTGTGGATACTGGCTTGAGTGAATACCACAATGAAACTGGAAGCACTGTGTGGACACAGGGAAGGAGTACTGAGCAAGGGCTTTGGTGTATGCCAATACACGTATAGCCTGAAAAAGAACCACTCCTCCTTAAATGACATTTGAATGATAGAAACTCCCATCACAGGGTCCTACCATATTAACTAAAGTGAGGGTGTACAGAAGTATCAAAATGATCAATAATACTGGAACAGGGGCTCTTGTTTTCCTTTGGTCATGAGCAGAAACTATATCCAGGATGTACCACCACCCATGCTTAACTGCTCCAAGCTGCCTACTGGCATAGTGGGCTCAATCTCCTGTTGAGGAGTTATTCCATTTTCATGGTATATATTTATCATGTCTGTGTATTGTGATTTTAGTGCCTGCCTGCTGGATAAGCTTGAAGCCCTACTGTACCCTCTGACCCAGAGTAGCCCATTAGGCTCTCTGCTGCATGGATAAGAGTTACACAGGCTACCTGAATAAAATTCTGCAAGAGTTGATGGCAGTTCATCAGTGCTCTCTGTGCTGAATGTGCAGAGATGGAACTGTTGGGCACTGAGCCCGATAACATCTTTCAGTGGGGTAGAGAGGTGACACCAGACCTGGGAGGTCTTTTCTTGCACTATAGACAATGAATACAAATCTGTGCTTTCTGTGAATCTTTGTTAATAATACAAACATTGGAGTACTCATTTTATTTCAAGAATGCATCTGGCAAAGTGTCTAATCCTCACAGTTTGAATAGAGGAACAAAGCTTGAGAGTTTGGAAGTAGTTGCTATTTCAGATCTCCACTGGGGTTCAGGAGACTTACTCTTTGGATAAGCAGGGACTATGTGAATACCTTAACTCTGTGAGAAATCAGACTTCCAGCATGTGAAGACATAAAGAAAACTTTCAATGGGCAGTAGAATTCTCATAAGCATTTGTATATAAGAGAATAAGGGCCCTTTCTCTTATTTCCTAATACACTGCATTCTTAGCATTAACAGCACCTAAGAACTTGGTTCCTCTGGAAGGAACCAGAGAGGACTGTCAGATTATCTGGAAAGCAAGGAGTCTTCAGTGATGTGATAAGGAAACCACTTCCCCCTGGCCCCATGAATAATAACACATAATAACACAGGACACAAGATAGATCAGTTCTCCACTCAAAATCCTAGCAAAGCAGTTCTCTCTTTTGAGGAATTGTCAGAAGTTCAGTCAGCATATTGCTATGGCTGAGGGAGATTTTTCCCTAGATCTTCACAGTCCTCACACACTCACCTCCCAGCCCAGGCCGCAGTCTGTTGTCATATCCATCCAAAAGCCCGTCCAAGATCCTGGTGAATATTGTGATGTTGTCATTGGTCTCGTCTCGTACAGAACTGGTTGGCATTTGTGAGAAGCTTTGAAAGAGAAAAATAAGAAAGGAAATTCTAATTGCTTCTTATAATATTTTTTCAAGACAGGCACACAATACTCATATGGCATTCTGACTTTGGAGGACTGTGATCTAATAAACAGACCTCCCATGCGGCCTTGGCTGGCCACTGGGTTCCCTTCACAAGCCCTGGATCTTGAATATTCTCAGTTTTGCTCTAGGCAGAATGGCTGTCAACGTAACATCAAGCTCCCGGTTCCCCACTCTTTTTGAGGAGCTGGAGGTTCTTGCTTCTTTTCTAAAGTCTAGGCTGCTCTTAAGACTGTGGATTTCAATGCTTTAGCCACATTTGAACAACAAAAAATAAGCCTTGGTACATAGAATAGCAGGACCATGAAACCATGAAATCACAGGGGATTCCAGAACTTTATTTAAATCAGAAAAACTGAAATTGAAAGACATCAATGAGAACAGGGAGGCTGAAAATTTTAACCTGGGGAAGGTGTGGTGGCACAAACCTTCAATCCCTACACTCAGGAGGCAAAGACAAGCAGATCTCTGTGAGTTCAAGACCACCATGGTCTACATAGCGAGTTCCAGGTAAACAAAAGCTACATAGTGAGATCCTATCTCAAAAAAATATTGTACCCAAGTTAGAAGACAAGAAGGTGAGCCCAATTCTAACTGCACCCTTACAAGCAGACTGGCCCTCAGAAAATGAACAAGAATATTCTGGTTTCATTCAGTGGTGTGAAGTTTTCCAGACTCCAAAAGTTGGTGGAACTGGAAGCCAGAATTGACCTACCTAAATGTCATCAATGAAAACAATTATTTCCAAGAACTTGGTGCAGCAGACACACAGCAATTCTATTCTCAGTGGTGCATACCCTGAGAAAACCAAGAAGACTAACTGGGGGACAGGAGATCCACATGACCAGGAGATAGTAATGTGTCTGAATACCACAGGTCCTCCTCCATCAAATGTTTTTGGGGTACAATCAGCACTTGACCCACAAGCTGGTCTGGGCTTCACAGACTCAAGGCACATCACTGGGTGAAATCCAGTACTCTTGGCACTCAAAAGAAGAGCTCATGATTCCTGGCACTTCCCTGGGAAGCCTGCCTGTGGGATGCCAGGTCTGCATAAGCACTTTCTCTCATGAAGCCGTTGAAATCAGAGTTGCCATTTCTCTGTGAGAAGCTGGGGTCAGAATGCACATGCCCTTTCCCCACTTAGCTCTTGAAAACCATGCATTTTCATCGATTGCATCTAAGCAGACCAATCCTTTACTTGCTCCAAAGAGAGTCTCTGTTGGATAAGCATAAAATTCCCTGAATCTCGTTTTCACATCACCATTAGAATGCATATAGCTAAAGGAAGCGCTCACAAACTGAAACTCAGTCCTGTTAGTATAGAGCCTACAGATGTGAGTCTTTCATTCTGTTATTTAGTATTTTAAAATACTACATGCCTCTTATTTCTAACATCCATGATAATTTCAGACTTCAGAAGAAACAATGGAGACACTCCCCACACCCAGTAGCTAGTAGCTGGGGGGAAAGCCCTTGAAGCCGCTGGGCTGCGTAAGATGAATGTTGTGCTCTGGGCTTGCATGGTTGTCTAATAACTTGGCACAGACAGTCTGGCCTCACAGTCTCCTTCTCATGGCATTCAGTGAATGTCCATCTGGTTATTGAATTTAGACAATGTCCACATGCCTAATGTGAGAAGGGCCTCACTATCTCTTCAATTTAAAAACTAAGGTGTGAGAATGTTCAACAGCAGGAAAAAAACAACACTGTCTATCTTCACAAATGAGTCCATTTCCTGATGCTCAAAGGACCCAAGGTCAATTTCATTCAAAAGTCCTAAACATAAAAATGTCATAAATAGGCAACTCAGAATTTATAAACTGTGTATTATTTGGGGAATAGTATATCTGAGTATCCACCCTGTATATGCTACCTGCCAACCAGTCATTTAATAGCTGTCTCAGTTATCAGCTAGAATGTCACATCATTGTTATGTACAATGTCAGGCAATGTTTATTTTATTTAATAAATAGCCCTGTAGTACAAGTTAGTAATTTCATTACAGTATGGAGTTACAATTTTTCCATTTTATTATTGTTGTCCTTGTTGATTTCTTAGTATGCCTAATTTATAGCCTGAACTTTACCATAGGTGTGTGTTATAAAGAAAAAATTGCAGATGCAGGATTTAACAATACCCTAAATTTTATGCACCCATCAGAGGTTTAGAATATATTCCCACAATCAAGGGACAATTATTTCATGTTTCAGGGACTTTTCTAAGCTGGCCCATCATCAGTTGTGAAAAGTTATTCAGTCACATTGGATAGGAACATACAGGGCCATCAAGAGAAAAAGATTTTGTGGCATCACTGGTTGTTTTCATAACAGCTGGCCACTGTATTGTTTAGTTCTCTCTCTCTCTCTCTCTCTCTCTCTCTCTCTCTCTCTCAGATATAAGCCTTGTTTCAGGCAACTAGGAAGCCTTTTGGATTTGAATCTCACTTTACACATGCACAAATTTTCACCAATGCCAGAGCTATTTCCATTTACTGGACATATAATATTTATTACTTTTTATTTTATGTGCATAGGTGTTTTGCCTGTATGCATGTCTGTGTAACAGGTATATAGCTGGTGCCCATAGAGGCCAAGAGAGGGTATTAGATTCTCTGAACCTGGAGTTACTATGGATGGTTGTGACTCACCACATGGGTGCTGGGAATTGAACCAAGGTCCTATGGAAGAGCATTCAATGCTCTTAACTTATGAGACATCTCTTCAGCTAGACACAGTTTTTTATTGTGTATTTTAAAGTATCTACTCACACTTGCCCATAATGATTCTTTGCTTGGAAAATTTTCAATATCTTCCCTGCCCTGCCATAATTGCATCCTGTATTGATCTTTGGTTCTTCATTTAGCTGCATTCAGGACTCTGAGGAGGGGTCTGGAGTATTTGCCTTGTTGTACTAAATAGTCATGTGCCAGGAGTAGAAAAAAAAGACAGTAAGAAAAAAATCCCTGGAAATGCCTCTTAGGGTAGAAGCCAGGTTTACATTTTGCTGCTGTTGTTGTGGTGATTTTGCTTCTTTGTTTTTCATAATCAACCCAAGAAAATGAATCACCTGTAACATGTGGCTGTGCAATGTCCTATTGTCATGGTACTGAGGATTACTCAAGTACTGTTTGCTGCCCTGGCACAGTGCCTCCTTCACCCACAGATGTCTGGGGACTTGGTTCTGCCTCCATTCAACTGCAAGATCTTTCAGGATTACTTCTTAGGCAGAAAGAACTCTAGTTTGGCTCAACAAAGCACTAGAAGAAGAAAGCAGTGGAGACATACTAGAAACTGTGTTCAGGGGGAAGCAGAGTGACTGAAGAGCATCAGGCAGTGTTTTCACCAGGCAGGCCTGGCCACCATCCATCTTAGCCTTACTGGGGTCTTCTCACTCTTAGCACAACTGTGAGTGAGCTCCTGCTACAGGGGCAAAATAAAGGTCTTCCAAGAAGTGGATTTTTGTGAGGAGAACCTAAAATTGTTATTACTAGCAAGCATGTTCAGCATGAAAGAAATACTTTTAAATGTTGGTAACTTACTTAAATTATAATTGAAGTAATATATAATTAAGTAATAATTATACTTAAATATGAATTCAATTCAATTATAATAAGGTTAAAATAGCTACATTCTCTCTCTCTCTCTCTCTCTCTCTCTCTCTCTCTCTCTCTCTCTCTTTTTCTCTCTCTTTCGTTTTTTGAGA